CACAAATCCCGCCTTTAAGCACCTACAGTCTCCATTGCCGTTACCGTTTATGCTTGCTCTGCGGAGCGATTTTTATGTTTAGGATCCTGTAAGATATCCGGCAACAGGAACTACAATGGAGACTATAGGTAACACTACGCGGCTCCGACGCGGTGCCCTGAGGCCCAAAACCTTGGAGTCCTGCAGCCCCAAAATCGAGGTGGAAGAGTTCACAGGCACCCCAACAAGTCTGAGAACCAGAGCCCGAGGTAGGGTTTGGGGTTTAGGGTTTAGGGTTTGGATTTGAGGGTTTTCTTGGATAAACCGTAAACATCAGACTGGACACTTCCAGGCCATGAACCTCGGACAGTTGATCAAGACGGCCCGGCCGAGTTCTCAGGAAAGAATGGCAGCAGGGGAGTTTCAGAGTTTTAGGATTAAGTAGGGCCGTTCTTGGTTGTCGTTTCGGGAGATTCAGATTCCCGACTTCGTTCATTGCAATGTCAGAGAAGGTGCGCAATCGTACGAATAGATATTCGGAGAAGTATTAACAAGTAAGGTATGCGTATCCGTTTGAGTTAGAATCACTGCAGTCACAGTCGTATTTACCAGACGCTGCTCTTCGAAACCCCTCAAAACTGTGTTTCCGCATACTGCCCTATGTGTGAGTTGTTTTTTGACTTTGTCTCCAGGGTCGTAGCTGCTGGTAGGGCCTTCTGAGCAGACCTCGTGTCTAATGTCGGAGCCTTAATTACTAGACTACGCTTTTCATGACTAGAAGCAGGTTTGTGGGCCATGCAATAGTACAGTTTTAACAGAAAAAGATAGAGACTGTTTATTCTCGGGGGTACAACTTTAAGACATTCTTGCGACCCTGCTCTTCGGCGATCGGTTGCTATGGGATACTTCGGTTGCGACGAAGGAGGAGGGAAAAGAGGTAGTCTGGTGACCTCAGTAGTTAGAATAGGGCTTGGGGGTATACGGGGGTATACGGTATATGATACATAGTCCAGCTATGATTCTGATAAGCACCCTAAGAACCAGTATTGGCGGCAGACAGGCCCTTATAATATTTCGGGGATCGCATGGCCAGAAAGCCGACGCAAGCCGATAGCGGGCGAAGTGGAAAGCCTGTTGCAAAAAGGGTTTAGGTGAACCCAGCCCTAAACCCAACGCCTCAACCCCAAAGGCCCAAGCCTACAGCCGCAAACCCCAAACCCTCAACTCCAGAACTCCGCCCAAACCAACAGCCAAAACACACCAGCAGACGAAAGCATAATTAGACCACAGAAAACAAACACATGCACTTACGCACATACCCGCGCACATGCACAGAGACCCCGAACACAACCGAGAAAAAACAACAAATTGGGTTCCAACAGCCAAAACCTAGATCCCTATTCCTAAAGTCTTCCAAACCCCACTTATAGCGCCCCCTGTAGCGCCCCAAAAGCGCCCTAAACCCTAAACCCTAAACATCCCTAAACCCTAAACCCCAAACCCTAATTATAGCACCCCAAAAGCGCCAGTTGCTTGGGCGTGGTGTCTTTCGTCGTGACCTCGGCAGCCTGGTCGGTTTGGGCCTCAGCCCGAAGAAGGGAAGACGCTCTGGTTTAGGGTTTAGGGTTTAGGGTTTAGGGTTTGTGTGTTTCTTTTTTTTTGTTTTTTCTTTCTGGAGGGGGTTTAACGTTCTAGTTAGGGGCTAAGGGTTTAGGGTTTAGGGTTGTTGTGGTGTTGTTATTTTTTTTGCTGGAGGGAGTCGAACGGTAGTTTAGTTCGGGCTTGCGGGGTTTAGAGGGTTTAGGGTTTATGGTGTTTCTGAGATTTTCTCAGTACATGAGTCAGTGTTTCGGGCTTTCGGGCTTATGACTTTCAGGGTTCGGCTCAGTGTTGCTTTTGACATGAATGCGGTGTTACATTTTCGTAAAATGGTATTCATGGTTTCTGAGTTTTCCAAAGCCCAACTTTTACCCAATTCTTCTGACACAAGTTGGCAGTCTACTTACATATTAGAAAGTGTTTCCTTCAGTCTGGGAATGAATTAAACAGGCCCTGGGACACTGGTGTACCCTAAGCCCAAGACTGTTGAGGGGCTTAGATTTTCGAGGTTCGGGCCTTCATTTCTGAACTTCAGAAGCTCAGTTTAGGGTTTAGGGTTTAGGGTTTAGGGTTTAAGTGAAAAGCCTGTTGCAAAAGGGTTTATGGTTTTTGGGTGGCAGCCGCGCCATGTCTCACGGACATCCCTCAACAGAGGTTTTGACTTGGAGTCACCCGCCCTCAAGACGAAATGAGCTGCCCGGCGCCGCAGACACACCTGTTCGTGACTCCGGAATCCTGAATACGTACTAAATATTACTATATAACTATTGAATATTCATATAGTAATATTTTTGGATAGGGCCTCCTTGGGTTCCTTATAGTTACGGTACAAAAGACCCCAGAACCATAATTCCGACTATTACGGCCCCTAGACTGCCAAATCAAGCACCTCCAAAACGGCAGCACTCTCAGCACGGTCAGT